CCGTTGCGCCACGAGGCCCTTCACATCTGTCAAATTGCTGAGCTAGTTATAGGGTCTAGCAACAAGGATTCCTGAATTGTATTAAAGACTTGCGCTAAAATTAGAGATTGATTGACCCCGACGTGATTTGAACACGCATCCTTCTGATCTGGAGTCAGACGCGCTACCGTTGCGCCACGAGGCCCTGCGCTTCTGACAAATTGCTGAGCTAGTTATAGGGTCTAGCAACAAGGATTCCTGAATTGTATTAAAGACTTGCGCTAAAATTAGAGATTGATTGACCCCGACGTGATTTGAACACGCATCCTTCTGATCTGGAGTCAGACGCGCTACCGTTGCGCCACGAGGCCCTTCCGTCTGTCAAATTGCTGAGCTAGTTATAGGGTCTAGCAACAAGGATTCCTGAATTGTATTAAAGACTTGCGCTAAAATAAGAGATTGATTGACCCCGACGTGATTTGAACACGCAACCTTCTGATCTGGAGTCAGACGCGCTACCGTTGCGCCACGAGGCCCTTCACATCTGTCAAATTGCTGAGCTAGTTATAGGGTCTAGCAACAAGGATTCCTGAATTGTATTAAAGACTTGCGCTAAAATAAGAGATTGATTGACCCCGACGTGATTTGAACACGCAACCTTCTGATCTGGAGTCAGACGCGCTACCGTTGCGCCACGAGGCCCTTCACATCTGTCAAATTGCTGAGCTAGTTATAGGGTCTAGCAACAAGGATTCCTGAATTGTATTAAAGACTTGCGCTAAAATTAGAGATTGATTGACCCCGACGTGATTTGAACACGCATCCTTCTGATCTGGAGTCAGACGCGCTACCGTTGCGCCACGAGGCCCTGCGCTTCTGACAAATTGCTGAGCTAGTTATAGGGTCTAGCAACAAGGATTCCTGAATTTTATTAAAGACTTGCGCTAAAATTAGAGATTGATTGACCCCGACGTGATTTGAACACGCAACCTTCTGATCTGGAGTCAGACGCGCTACCGTTGCGCCACGAGGCCCTGCGCTTCTGACAAATTGCTGAGCTAGTTATAGGGTCTAGCAACAAGGATTCCTGAATTGTATTAAAGACTTGCGCTAAAATTAGAGATTGATTGACCCCGACGTGATTTGAACACGCATCCTTCTGATCTGGAGTCAGACGCGCTACCCTTGCGCAACCAGGCCCTGCGCTTCTGTCAAATTGCTGAGCTAGTTATAGGGTCTAGCAACAAGGATTCCTGAATTGTATTAAAGACTTGCGCTAAAATTAGAGATTGATCGACCCCGACGTGATTTGAACACGCAACCTTCTGATCTGGAGTCAGACGCGCTACCGTTGCACCACGAGGCCCTGCGCTTCTGTCAAATTGCTGAGCTAGTTATAGGGTCTAGCAACAAGGATTACTGAATTGTATTAAAGACTTGCGCTAAACTTAGAGAATGATTGACCCCGACATGATTTTAACACAAAACCTTCTGATCTGGAGTCAGACGCGCTACCGTTGCGCCACGAGGCCCTTCACGCCTGTCAAATTGCTGAGCTAGTTATAGGGTCTAGCAACAAGGATTCCTGAATTTTATTAAAGACTTGCGCTAAAATTAGAGATTGATTGACCCCGACGTGATTTGAACACGCAACCTTCTGATCTGGAGTCAGACGCGCTACCCTTGCACCACGAGGCCCTGCGCTTCTGTCAAATTACTGAGCTAGTTATAGGGTCTAGCAACAAGGATTCCTGAATTGTATTAAAGACTTGCGCTAAAATTAGAGATTGATTGACCCCGACGTGATTTGAACACGCAACCTTCTGATCTGGAGTCAGACGCGCTACCGTTGCGCCACGAGGCCCTGCGCTTCTGACAAATTGCTGAGCTAGTTATAGGGTCTAGCAACAAGGATTCCTGAATTGTATTAAAGACTTGCGCTAAAATTAGAGATTGATTGACCCCGACGTGATTTGAACACGCAACCTTCTGATTTGGAGTCAGACGCGCTACCGTTGCGCCATGAGGCCCTGCGCTTCTGTCAAATTGCTGAGCTAGTTATAGGGTCTAGCAACAAGGATTACTGAATTGTATTAAAGACTTGCGCTAAACTTAGAGAATGATTACCCCGACATGATTTTAACACAAAACCTTCTGATCTGGAGTCAGACGCGCTACCGTTGCGCCACGAGGCCCTTCACGCCTGTCAAATTGCTGAGCTAGTTATAGGGTCTAGCAACAAGGATTCCTGAATTTTATTAAAGACTTGCGCTAAAATTAGAGATTGATTGACCCCGACGTGATTTGAACACACAACCTTCTGATCTGGAGTCAGACGCGCTACCGTTGCACCACGAGGCCCTGCGCTTCTGTCAAATTGCTGAGCTAGTTATAGGGTCTAGCAACAAGGATTACTGAATTGTATTAAAGACTTGCGCTAAACTTAGAGAATGATTGACCCCGACATGATTTTAACACAAAACCTTCTGATCTGGAGTCTGAATCTAGAGAAGGAATCACAAATTTAAATTTGGGTTAAGGAAATAATTTAAATTTGATTTGGTCAATACATAATTCCATTTGTTATTTCATAGTGGTAATGATTATTATTATCCACATTTTAAAATAATTGAAAAGAAAAGGTGTGTCCAAACTTTTCACCGGTAGTGTCTACATACACTGTACATTAAACCGCTGACTCTTTGTCGCTCTGCATGTATACCTCTGTAAATACTGTGAAAAGAAAATATCATTCTCATTTCAAGTGTCTGACCTTGTGTATTCAGCTAGCTCATCTAAGTCTTATTTGTATATGATCATAGGACTATGAAAAGACATGAAGGCTTTTTTTCTACCTGTGTTCAGGTTTCTCTGGACTTTCAGCTCAGGGTTGAGTCATATTAATGGGTTCATGAAACAGACCATAATATAAATACAACATTAATACTTTGTTCTGATGCTGCTGTGAAAGTTGTTGTTCTCATTGTATTAAAAAAAACCATCACATAGAGTATGTGTAATATGTACATAATAGATAGTCATGCTTTGTGCTTTAATGTGTGTTACCATGTCCAATGAAACCAGAGAACCAGTGGCCACGTTCAGTCAAACTGCTAGACAAAGCCAACTTCATTCGTTTTAAGGCAGGCAATAGCAGGTTGACTGAATTTGCCTATTATCCTGAACATCTCCTATCGTATATTGTAGTGTGGCAAAATATAGATGTCCAAACTCATTTTAATTGGCCAGAGGGTAAACCTATTTCATACAGCATTCAGAAATGTCATGCACTGGAATTTGCTGTTTATTGTTTTTGTAGCCTTGCTATTTCTGTTGCATGATGGGACACCAAGATTTCAAGGGAACCCTTCGTTTCGTCATGTTTGATGGAAGTGATTTTATTTGCCAGTGGACAATACTGTCCACAACACTGAACATTGATAGGAATGGAAATGGAAATTCAAAAGGCAAAATATTGCAATTATTTCAATGTTTTCAAATATTCAGCTTTATTTATTTATTAATAAATTAATTGCAGAATTGCGTTTGTTAAATGTAATGATTTTGGATCATTTTTACAAAGCCTGTCAAGAACATCATATCAGGGTCATAATTTACCCCAAAATCAAAAGATTTAAAATATTTATATATATATTAAGAAAGTATTAAGAAAATTACATGTATTAAACATTGTGAAAAGAAGAATGAAATTGTATAGTATTTCTACATCATGGCAGTGTTTGTGATCAAACAACAAAAATATTGTTTTTCATTGCTCTCATTACAGTAATGAGAATCATCATTGAGAATAATGAGAATTACAAACAAACTCAAATTAAATCATCCGGATGCATTCCCGTAATGAGGATTTGGAAGGGAAATGTCCTTAATTATGAGCATAATGGCACAATGCAAAATCTTAATGGTCCTTTAAATAGACTATGTAAAATATATGTATATTTTTTTCTTTTTCATATGTTTCCAGGATGAAATATGATCTGAAAAAAGTGAAATTCACCTCTTTGGATGGTGTATAGAGTATAGAGTTGACTGGCCTGGTTATTTCTTTACACTGATTAAAAAAAAGAAAACATTGACCAATTCTTGTTCAAGATCTAGATCTTGATCAGAGCTTTGTGGCAAAAAAAACAAAACAAAACCCAGATGATTCTTACATAACATGGCTAAACATAAACCCAACCTGTTGCCCTTTAAAAAAAACATGATAATTATACATCAAAGCAAGAAAATATGCAAATGAACTGAACATCTGGAAATGCGTGTTCAACTTTACTTTTTTCTTTAGAGGTTTGAAATCTTTTCAGTGTTTGGTGATTTCATAGCGTATGTGAAATGTGTTTTGTTTGCATGTTTAGCAGCATTAATATAAATGTTTCAGTTTAAAACAGTCTGTCACTTAATTCCAAAAATGCAACTCTGGGAGAAAAAAAAAGAAGAAATCAGTTCCCAGATTCACTGGGAATCGCCTTATTAAATTTGTAAAGTGATTTTTGATTGTTTATATGTTCAAAAAAATTGAATTGTTTTATATGTTAGTACTGCCACAATAAAACTGGAGTGAAAACATTGCAGTCTTTATTTTTGCGTATTACAAATTTCACATTTAAACCAACATTCACTCAATTATAAATGCAAATTAAATACAGTGGAATAAGCATGAAATAAGAATTACAGATAAGACATTAGCATGTCATTCATATAATTGTGAATACATTTAACATATAATAAATGTTTTACTGCAAGAAAATGTTTTTTTTTAAAGTGTGCACTGTTTATTACACAATATAATGTTACATATATGAGCTGTGCTCTTGAGAAATCCATAAAGCAATGAATGTATAAAGATAAAATCTGTTTTAAAATGGTTTCAGCACTGAGCAAATAAAGGAAGAAGAAAAAAAAAACACTTAAATGTATTTTTTATAATTTAAAGCTACAAGCCAAAAATGAAGGCTTTGGATCAGGCATCAACTTCCAGTTCTTTAAAAAAAAAAACTTCTTAGAACATAAACAGAACTTTTCACATTATTTCAACTTTCACACACTACCACACACACTTACAGAACTATTATGATATATTCCTTCTCTCTTAGCTAAAGGAAGTTTTCATGAAATAAATAAAGGCAAAGTGCAGCGTACTAAATTCCTGACGTAGTGTATGTTCACTTCATAAGCTATTAATAATCGGCTGTAATATAAAAGCTGTGAAATGCAGGGCTGTTAAAGGCAACCCATGACACACAGCTATGAGACAGTCCTGAGGACAATACTTGAACACGTTTAGCACAGTAAAAACAACTTGGACAATCGCAAACCGGCATCTCCCATGTATTGTGACTTGAATAAATAGTTGAATGATTAAATATTTGATTAGCTCTATGTCGAAGCATCGCGTCGCACCTGCACACGGGCTGTCGCCGGGTCATGTGACGTGCGCACGCATCAGCCCATGCAGCAGTTTGGGCTTGGCATCTTTTTGTTAGGTTTTACAGACAGTTTGGCCACTGATACGGGCTTCTTGAACTCATCAGCATGCTTGGTCACCTCTCTAAAGTGCAGGAAAGAGAAAACATTTAACCTTTTAAGTCTTGAGTTTTAAATGTAATATTAGGCTATTATGAAAGTATCATGCTGGGAAGTGAATTTGGTAACAGTAGAGCTGGGCGATTAATCAAATTTGATTTTGGCTTCCAATGATTATGAAAGCAAAGTAATGGCATTCAAAAATATATATATAATCGGGCAGCCCTAGGTTCTCATTTTCGGATGTGAACTGAATGCTGAAATTTGCTGCAAAACATTACACAAGGAGACTTGACTGTCAGAATAATGTGTTTTCGTTCACTTCACAAAGGTTCATCAACGCATTATGCTCAGATTATTAATCTCAATAAACCTCAAATCTGCTGCCCTCTTGTGTTTTGTGTTAATATTACAAATGTTACAGTATGCAGTCAGTTCCTCTGAAAGCGCTTTATGGGTGAATCTCACAAAACCTATCAAGAATATGTCTCCAAAATATTATTTTAACGTTTTTTCCTGTATTTTATTACATGAATTGTATCACTGCTTTACACATTTATTTTTTCAATTGAATAAAATTAAATTACTGTCATGAAAATACAAAAACAAATAATATGTTTAAATAAAATAAACTGTCTTTGGGGGAAAATATGTATGTATAACTTGGTCTATTGAATACAGGGAGAAATGTGATTTGGACATGTATTTGTAAAAATGCACCTTTCACCTTTAGTCTATTTGGGTATCATTTTTGGGAGTCAGACGTTGACTTTAAAATGTATACCAGACAGAAGTATTGTATTTACAGAATGTGATTTCATTTTGAATCGTGGACTGGGCTTACCGGGCTAAATGAAGAACAGCCTCAATGATGTTGGATCCATCCTTTGCACTCGTCTCGCAGAATAAGGCACTGTATGTCTGAACGGAGAGAGCAGCCACAGTTACACTTACAGCGATAAAAACACAGAAGACCAATGGCCAAGTTCAGGATTTACATTAAATTAAACATAGAATTTCAGGTTTTTTTTGTTTTGTTTTACCAAACCCTATCGTATACCCCCAGAACACATGGAATATACGACACGTCACATTGGACAATTCTGTGATACTTTTGCGTCTTTATGATGCTGGTCGCAATTCACTACCATTAAAGGGGTCATATAATGGTACATGCACTTTTACAAGTTGATTGTACTGAAATGTGTGTTGGCAGTGCCTGTACACAACCATCATAAAATGATAAAAATCTATCCAGTGTTTTTGTTTTAATCTCCTTATATGTTTTCCCCTGCCTCAAATCGAGCCGTTCGATTTTGTGACGTCACACGGTCGGACGCCCCTCCCGCGATTGTTGATTGACAGCATCGTTTCAACACAGACCCGCCCTCGCTCGTGACTCGTGAGCGAGCTGTCAATCATAGTCTGCGCGGACCGGCGCGGTCATTGTTGATATGCTGGAGCACTGTCTATGAGCAGAATGGCGTCTAAGCGATTGTGGTGTTCTGTTCTTGGGTGTAATAACGAACAGAGTCATTTTAATGTTCCTAAATCCGAACCGCTGAAGACGCAGTGGCTGAGTTTGTTTTCGAAGGGAATATTCCCCACGAGCAACGTCAATGCTCTCATGTTTGCGCGAATCATTTCTCACCAGACTGCTTATAAACGAGGGTCAGTATAAAGCTGGTTTTGCTAAGAAGCTGCTCATGAAAAAAGGATCGGAACCAGATATTCGTGTTCCTGCTGAACCTCTAGAACAACTGAAGTGAGTGTAACGTTTTACTAAACTTTATATTAATATTTATATTAATCTTTGCAAATCGCTAGCTGCACGCTTCACAATGAATGCGTCTAAGGTTTTATTACGGCATGTTTTCTATGATGTTCTCAATATAATTCATAATCCCACGTTTATACTGAACAACGCGTTATGGTTATTGTGTTATTGTGTTACAAACGGTGTACGCACAGAACAGAGAGTCGGAGTGAGCAAAGCTCATTATCATTTAAAGTCATATGCACTGAAACGGCGTGCTGAAAACAGAGCTGTTTTTGACCAAGTAAAATGTTTTCTTACAATACTAATGAGAATTTTTAATTAAAGTATATTACAAACTTTTAATTTAGACCCTAAAGAATCATATTAGCTTGTACAAAAATGGCATTATATGACCCCTTTAAATAGAGGAGCTTGAGCGGAACATTTAAAAAAAAAAAAATCTCCTTTTGTGGTCCATAAAAGAAAGAAGGGCATACGTCATTAGAACAACACCAGGGTGAGTAAATTATGATTTAATTTTCATTTTAGGGTGACCTATCCCTTTAAGTTCAAAAAGTCCAGTCTACTGAAGCATATGATAGTTTATTGTCTATAGACTATTTTTATGGTGTTCATGGTGTTTTGTGTCTATTTTGCTGCTTGAAAGTTTCAGTCTCTGTTCATGGTAAACTGCATGGAAAAGAGCAGCCAGTAGTGTGTTTTTCTCCTTTTGTGTTTCAGGGGAGAATCAAAGTCAAACGGTTTGTATGAGGGTGAGTAAATAATTATAATTTTCATTTTTGGGTGAACAATCCCTGTAAAAAAGCAATGGTAAATCACAGTAAGTGATGTCTGGGTACGAACCATGGCCAGTTTCTCTCCGTAGCTGGTTGGAATACAGGTGACTCCATCCAGAAGAGCTTCCTTTCTCAGGTCTGTCTTATTACCCACAAGCATGATGGGAATGTCATCCTGGGACACATCCTGCATCAGAAAAGAATATCAATCAGTATCTTATTCATCTAATTATCTTATTATATCTAACCCAGCAACATTCCATATATCAGTATCTTTTAACTTTAGGTGTATATTCAAAATGTAGGGTCAATCAAAAGATCAAGAAAAATCTGTTTAGACATGTTCAGAAGATTCCTCTTAAGTTCACCAAGAACATTAATGGAAACAAAGCTATAAAAACGCTTCATTCAGAAATCACATGAACACGTTTGCATATGACTGTTCAGCAACTAGGCTTGTCCCACTTGTCTTAAAGGGACAGTTCGCCCAAAAAAAAAAAACATAATTCTCTCACTATCATGTAATTCTAAAACCATAAGACTTTTGTTCATATTCGGAACAGCATGCTTGCTTGATGCGCAAGAACCAATGAGGTTCATTCTCTTGTGTTACGCAGCATTTTGTGCTTCGGCAAGAACCAATGAGGTTTGTTTTCGTGCATGAAGAAAGTACAGTTGAGCTTATGTTTATGTTTGCTGATCAATGTTTATATGTAAATATAAACATTAATACTAAATACATAAATACTAAATTAAATGTTCATCATATAAAGTGATCGAGTCTCTTCAGAAGACTTGGATTAAACTGCTTGATTCATAAGATAAGATTTCATTTAAAATATCTTTGTGTTTTGAAGAAAAAAACGAAAGTCTTACTGGTTTGGAACAGAGAGAGTTAAAATTTTACAGTCGCGCCAGGCAGGGGCGTCACTAGGCCCTTTTTAGGGGGGCTTCAGCCCCCCTAAACTTCTGCCAAGCCCCCCTAAAAATGTGAGATTAATGTAGGCTACACAAATTCGTGTTCGCTTCAGTCTTGTTATAATCAGATTCAGCACATTCTCAATCCACAGCTGCGCCGTGCAGAGAGCACGTCAGAAACAGAGGACAGGGTGTGTGTGTTCATTTGTGTGTTCATCTGAGCCTCATTGGTCTGTCACTGCTCGTCAATGTCAGAGACGACCAATCAAATCAAAGTAGGCGGGCTTTATGTTCACAGACGCTGCTGAGCGCGAATTTTAACAGTGCGACTCGACCATTTTTTACAGTCTATGGACTCGACGCGTACGGTCAAGTGCGAGATAAGATGTAAGTAGCTAAACTTAACATTTCATATTTTACTTTTTTTAGGTCATAAATGTTAAACGAATGACAAAAAATAATCAGGCAAACTAATATAGTTTTGTCTAATTTCGCCATTTTGAACTGAAAATAGGCCTATACACTCATGTAACTCATGTAATGTAATAATTAGTTTACAAGAAACATTAACAAAGCCGTTTTCATCATGTTAGGCACAAGATTAATAATGAATGTGTACATATTGAGAATATAATACAAATTGTAGCCTTTAGTAAATTAAAAAAGCTCAGCTTTAGGAGGGGAAGAGAAAGGGAGGAAGAGACTGAGAAAAAAAGGAAGAGTGATGGAGATGAGAAGAGAGGAGGTATTGACAAATAATCTGCCCACTGACATGGTTTTAAAGCTATTTCTTATCCTTTTTTTTGGTCTTCAAACGTCTTGAAATGCACATATCAGAAATAAAAAAATTGAACCCCCTACCAATCTCAAATTTAGGACCTCTGTGATTATAAAGCCCTGTCTACGGCCCTGTATTAGGCATAAGATCAATAATAAATGTGTAGCCTACATATTGTGAATGCATTTAATAAACTTAATTACCTTTAGTAGCTTTCAGTAAATAAACGCGTCTGAGAAAATGATTCATAGGCAAAATCAACCTATCAGTTGACCCTATGTTTACTTTCTTCACTGACAAAATGAAAAGCCTATATCAGTCAAAGCTCAGCTTTAGGAGGGGAAGAGACAGGGCAAGAGAAAAACAAAGAGAAAAAAAGTGATGCTGCTGATGAGGAGAGAAAAATTGTCAGCTGCCCACTATCCAAGTTTTTTGGCCTTCAGAACATCTTAAAATGCACATATGTAGATCAGAGAAATCAAAATTTTCTCGGGGAGACCCCGAACCCCCCTATTTGCCCTGCCTCACATTTGGGACCACAGTTATTATAAAACCGTGCATTTGCATCGTAATGAAAATGGTTAATAGTGATCTTTAGATCCTAAACTAAAGTGTTACCTTTTTTTATAATTTGTTTAAAAATCATATTGGGGGCTTAGCCCCCCTAAAATGAAAATCCTAGTGACGCCCCTGGCGCCAGGTACAAACTAGCCTGGTTAAAACCAGACCATTCTCAGTTGTAACTGAGTTATGGTCTGGCAAAGCGTCATAGACAAATCATTTCCAGAGGCGCGTCACCAACGGACGTCGCGGATAGACCTAAACCCAATCAGAGCGATGAAGGAGATGACGTATGCAGAGCGGCGGAGAAACATCTCCGCGTGTTGTTCTTTGCTCGGTTTTTAACTAAAAGGAAACGTTCAAATGGCTTAAAACAGACGCGATAGCTGATTGGAACGAGTGATGTTCGACGGCGGCATCCATCTTTGTAATGTAGGCTACAAAATCTGCTTCAAAATCCCAGCGCTGTCGTCATCGTGTAAAGCCCGCCCCAACGTTTCTGATTGGTGCTGCGATTTCGACGGATTGGAAATGAGCTTGAATGAGCTCTTTGCCAGACTAACTTTCAGAGCAAATCTAAATTTGCTGGAAGTTGTCTGGGTTTTCCCAGGCTAGGTACAAACATTTCATTCCTAGAGAATTTGGAAAGTTGGTCAAGTCAACTAAATTATGACTGTTTTGTATGAAACCTTAACTAACATTATAAGTTTACAATTACTGTGGTAAAAAAATATGCTAGACAGGACAGCGTCGAGAAAATACCTCAATGATGTCGACCCATTCGCGCACATTTAGAAAGCTCTTCTCGCAAGTGACGTCATACAGTAGAAGGACCCCATCAGCTCTCCTGAAGTAAGACTTAGCAATGCTCCGAAACCTGTAAAAGGGACACCAGAATAATTAGCCTTTAGCCCAAATTATACTTCAGTTTTTACTTGTACGTGTAACCAGTCCTACTCAACCTGCTCCGAGCGGGATTCGAACCGGGGTCTCAGGCATGGGAGACGAGTGTGCTAACAAGGACGCTAAAGACCGCAGCCTCTAGCATCAGTCGCTAGCACGCCTCTTGAGGCCAGGGGAGTGAGGTTTACATGCACAGCTCTTACTGGCCTACGTCCGTTACATATGCTAGGGTATGCATATCATAATATCATATATTAATAATTGTATTTATTGAAAAACTAGAAATCTCAGGAGGTCATTCATGTAAGAAGAATCCTGGATCTAGAAGAACAGGTCGACTAGTTTAGAGTTTAAAGTCGCAACTGTCGGTTTTTGTGATGTGTTCCACACCCTTGCAACAAGCTGATTGAGTATATTGAAATGCCATTGGGCAGTCGGTGAGAAAGATCACTCTGATTGGCAGTTCAGCTTTGATGTGCACAAAAAGAATAACCAGTGGATGAAAAAAAAAAGGAATAGTCAAGAGTGCACACAGAGTCTATTCATAATCTTACCCGAGCATTCCAATACACAAATATCTTCATAACGACATGGTCGTCTGGAATGAAGAAAGTGAAGACCAGCTGAAAACATGATTCATATTCAAAATGGTAAGCAAGCACTGCCTTGTTTACGGTTTGTATATCTGCAGTCCTTGTTTTGGTTACCCATTTTGAATCACGAACAGGGGTTGACATTAACTTATTTTTCTCATCTGCCACTGTGGCTTGTGTTTTTCCAAAGTTACTAGCCACAATTTTGACATCGATACCATGGGCAAAAACTGCCATATACTGTAGATATTTTTAATATTATCTCATAATTTGGTATACTATACAGATGGTATATTAGGCTGCTGTCACTTTAAGACCTGATGCATTATACTGTTACACATGCATTTTCTTTCTCAACTGTTTGTTCACTTAAAACATAACTGACTGTGTTTACATGAATACTCGCCAAGACCGGAATTTTTACATTATTTTGTGTGTATTTGACTTTTTAATAAATAAATTTTTTTTATGTGCGCAAACTTTGGGTGTGGGCACCAAATCTGTGGAAATTAGTACAATTATGTGCAATGGGTGCAATCCCATGCCGAAATTCAAGCCCTGTAACACCAACAATATTCATCCAGAGCAAATGAAACGAGTGAGTGAGGAGAGACGGGTTTGTGTGTCACTCGCTGTTGGAGAGATGAGAGAGCAAGAACGTGCAAGCTGATATAGTCTATCTATTCCAGATATTTCAGTATCGATATGTATCGAAAATATTTTTGACGACACTACATTGCACTTAGTTTATTATTTCAGATGCCACTGCAGAAATACACCCCCATTTGGCGGGTTGGCGGGTGTTAATGTCAAGCCCTGGTCACGAATTACTACTGCCACCAGCTGGTATAGATAGTTATTTCCTCTCACACAGGCGAAGAATGTGCGTGCTCGTTCGCTGTAGTCTTTGCAGTGTGTTCAAGCGCAATTTTTTGAACCAGACACAGGTGACACGAAATGGCATCACAGTCGGCTTGTGTCACCGGCCGCTAGTTCTATGATGTCGGTTTGGTGTGTCACAACCTTTAGAGTTTATACCAAGGGGTATAGATATGTTTTGGGGAGATTTAACTTGACTTTGGGCACTGGGATCTTACCTTTCCTGTCCAGCTGTGTCCCATAACTGCAGCACTGTTGGAACACCGTCCACCACCAAAGTTTTCATCTGGAAATCAACCCCTGCAGGAAAAAGACACAAATGAACATCGTTTTACAATATTCGTGACAGTTAAAAATTAAATTCAAGTGGGGTTAAGTGTTAGAAAGTCTTACCCAGTGTGGCACTAGTGTTGCCTTTGAACTCGTTCTTACAGAGGCGAAGGAGGAAACTAGACTTTCCCACAGCGGCGTCTCCTGCCAGCACAATCCTGTAAGCCTTCTCAGATGGAGGCTGAGTCACTGCCAAATCATCCTGCTCTCTCTGCACAGATGCACACACATTTGGGCTTTAGACTTTGAGTCTCAGGACTGGGATTTGTTTGAGTTCAGGATCTAGAATGCCGTCGGTCAAATTTAAGCCTTTATGATACTTCTGGCAGGTGAATCCAGTACCTCGGTGAAGATGGCAGAGAGGCATTTCTTCCCTGAAGCAGTAACTTCATCTTTCTCAACAGGCTTTGACAGAGTCCAGCTCAGATCGGATTCGCTGTCCGACCCAAACGCAGCCTCTTCTTGCACTTCCACAACCTGAGCGAACAGCATATTTTAAAACAGGAATCTGACTGATCCAGAAATGACAGCAAGTTAAGAACACACAGGGAGATGCCTTTGATTTATTCATTAGCGGTTCATACTTAGTATGCTTGGTTGTCTTTTTTATTCTCAAAAAGTTTTTTATTATTGAGCCAATGTTTAAACAAATAAAAATGCGATCATATAATCACAATCATACAGAACAATTACCTGAAGAATGAATCTGACTGTTGGAAAATGAAGATTTATAGCCACAACAGCGTGTGGGACTGTTTCCATTTATTTCATCAGTTTAAGAACATAATTTTTTTATAACAACAGCTGCCTGAGCAGATTTTGCAAATAAACAAGCAAATATTGCTTGTTAGGGATAATTTTTGAGTTGATTGGACTGGTTTTGTATGAATATGCACCAGTGAATCAGTCACAATAAGACCTGGAACATGTCGAAAGTCTCTAGCTTTTTAAATAGGTCTTAAAATACTATTATTCTCCTTCACTACGACATTCATGACATTCTGCCCTTGTGAAAAAGAAGTGTGCTTAATAATATTCACTATTTATTAACATGCCATTGGTGTAATTTTCCGGCTTTTCGTGTTTTCAATGTTATACGGTAGGGGCGGAATCTTCTGAAAGAGAACTGAATCTCCTGATCAAAACACAGAAGGAAAAAAGCAGATGCATATGTAAATTAACGCGATCATCAGCATTAAACAGCATTTAAATCAAAACTGCCTAATGTTACTGAATGAAATGTCGACCCAGGACGAGCTATAGGACTGTGAAGCTTTGAGGGTGTTGATGGACTCGATCTACTCCATCTGTGTTTTGATCATCATTCTGAATCCCATCCAGACGTATAGTCTTTGACAAAAACTTTCAAGTACTACCCACGTTCAAGTGTTGATAAAAAAAGAATGCATTAAGCTAGAATAAAAAGTTTTTTTTAAAGCAGAGTTAAATGAGAGCTAACCCTCTACAACATAGTATTGCCCTCAGGCAACAGAAAGTTTTCTTAAGCCCTATGTTCAGTAAATGTTTCTTTAATTGATTGCAACCAATTAGAATGTTTGAAAAAGTATCAAAGAACAGTCCAATAAGGTTTGGGAGTCACCATCAAGCACCATTTGAAGGTGGGACGTCCTTTTCTGGCACATGGTCACAGGAGCACATGTTGTTGAAAGCAAGATTTTGTGCTTAGTGATCTTATTTAAAATGACATTAACTGTACATACAAAAATATGTGTGTGTGTATGAAGGTGTAGAGAAGCCTTCTGGCAGGTTTTATGAAGTTTTTTTTATTTTGCATGTTCACAAATTCAGTTTTTCTTTTTGTTGCCTCAGGGCAACGTTGTGCGATAAGGGGTACCTTTCAAGGATGTCTTGAACAATACTTTACAATGGCAAATAATGTGTTACAAGAAGGGAAGATGCAGGGATCCTGGGTACACAGGAACACCCAAAGTCAACAAAGTGACACCAACAGAAAGGAACCAACTGTTCCCACAAAGTTGGGAGCATGACATTGTCCAAAATGTCTTGGTATGCTGAAGCATTAGGAGTTCCTTTCACTGGAACTAAGGGGCCAAACTCAACCCCTGAAAAACAACCACACACCATAATCCCCCCTTCACAAAACTTTACACTTGTCACAATGCAGTCAGGCAAGTACAATTGTCCTGGCAATCGCCAAACCCAGACTCGTCCATCAGATTGCCAGTGATTCGTCACTCCAGAGAACACTCTTCTCTAGAGTCCAGTGGCGGCGTGCTTTACACCACTGCATCCCACGCTTTGCATTGCACTTGTTGATGTAAGGCTTGGATGCAGCTGTTCAGCCATGGAAATCCATTCCATGAAGCTCTGCGCACTGGTGTTCAGCTAATCTGAAGGCCACACGAAGTTTGGAGGTCTGTAGCTATTGACTCTGCAGAGAGTTGGCGACTTCTGTGCACCTCAGCATCCGCTGACCCTGCTCTGGGATGCAGTTGTTCCCAATTGCTTCCACTTTGTAAAAATACCACTAACAGTTGACCGTGGAATATTTAGTAGTGAGGAAATTTCACAGATGGCAACCTACAGTACCATATTACGTCATTGACAGGCGACAAGTGACAAGGGATGGGCACTATTTAAAATTGTGAATTTCTCTGAATTTCCAAATTCTTGGAAACATTTAGTATAATGTAAGTACACAATTGAAAGAAATATATAACACTGTGCACGTGGTTTTTGGATATTTTGATACAAGATACTTAAATGAAATAAAAAGCCACTTAAAGGGATACTTCAGGATTTAGCATTAAGCTTTGTATTAGTGGAAAACTAGTAGTATTTTCAAATGACCGTGCTTTCCACCCTCATATCCCCCTGAGACGAGAGATTTATGTATTTTATGTCTGGAAAAAATCCTCCGATGACGCAAAATTACGATTTTTTGGCCAGAGGCTAAAGACTACAGTCAGTAGAAGGAGCTGCCCATAGAGGGTGGGATCTCACTCACAAATTGTACACATAGTGTCAGACATCTTTTTTTGGAAGCTAAGCTAGCAGGCTCTTGTTCTGTGGAGAAAGCTGAGTAACTTAGTAGGAGAAAGCTGAGTAGTAGGGGTTACCATTCATCCTCTTTTTCCCGGACATGTCCGGCCGTCGAGATCGTACAAAATGTCCGGGATTCAGCTTTTGCTTTCTGCAGTCGCCATTCATTGTTTACATGGACACCTTTTGTTTCAATCTAACTGAATTCAATCCGATTGGTGAATCTGAATGTAGTGTTTACATGAACGCTAAACAAGTGATCGGTTGATGTGCGTTTTAACATTGCTAAGAAAATTCCCGCTCCTCCGTAAGAGACCGGTGCGTCTCACAGGTGTCTCTCATCGGTAATCACGCCACCGGCCTCGTCCTGCTCGCCACAGTAAACATAATGAATGGCGACTGTAGAACGCAAAAGCCGAATCCCGGACATTTTGGGCGATCTCGAAATCCCAGCCCGTTCTCATCCTTTGGCATCATACATGTGACGCTTTGGACATTTCGTCGAAATCTTACGCACATGGCATCCTTTAGCATCAATATGAGACGCAGAACCCAAGGCGTCATACAGGTGACGCTCGTCTAAATCCAACGCACATGGCATCCTTTAGCGTCAATATGAGACGCAGAACCCAAGGCGTCATACAGGTGACGCTCGTCTAAATCCAACGCACATGGCATCCTTTAGCGTCAATATGAGACGCAGAACCCAAGGCGTCATACAGGTGACGCTCGTCTAAATCCAACGCACATGGCATCCTTTAGCGTCAATATGAGACGCAGAACCCAAGGCGTCATACAGGTGACGCTCGTCTAAATCCAACGCACATGGCATCGTTTAGCGTCAATATGAGACGCAGATCCCAAGGCGTCATAACCGTACCCTACCCCAGACCTAAACCTACCCATAACAGTGTGTGTTATATTGACGCTAAAGGATGCCATGTGCGTAAGATTTCGACGAAATGTCATATGGCGTCACCTATATGACGCCAAAGGATGAGAATGCGTTGGAAATCCCGGGCAGACTCATCACGGAGACTCACTAGTAGCCTAGACTTGTTGTTTAACTACTGTGCTCCATTACCGGTAGGCGTGGCCTACTAGGGCAGCGAAGCAAGTGCATTCTGGGAGTTGTTGTCTTTCATCCACATAAGCCAAAAATACATTTTCTGGCTTTTCTCAGTCTAGAAAGCTCCAAATTCAAAAATAATTTCACATTTCTTCTACATAAATGACCCATTTTAAATACATATTCATCTTTCAAGAGGTGAAGTATCCCTTTAAGTGTACTTAAAGAGAGTACATATTCACGACTGTTTGAATAAGTACACTTAAATTGAAAGTTTTACATTTAACTGCATTTTAAAAGCCGAAAATTTGGACTAAGTCCACTTAATTCATATAGATTAGTTTTACCGTCTCTTCATGAACTTTTTGAAGCGTCAAAGTGGTAGTTGCGAAGCTGTCAATGGAGGGTCAGAAATCTCTCAGATTTCATTAAAAAGATCTTCATTTGTGTTCCGAAGATGAAGTCTTACAGATTTGGTACGACATGAGGGTGAGTAAATGATGACAGAATTTTTATTTTTTGGGTGAACTAACCCGTTAAAGTGAAGGCCTGATTGTTTCAGGGAGTTTTTTTACTTTTGCTATATTTTCACACGTAAAACATTGCTTTAGTAATCCTCTTGTACCTTTTGTGCAAAGAAATAATTCTGTATTATAAGTATAAGTATATTTTAGTTTACCATAAATCCTTGTCAGTACATTTAGCAGTACACTTTAACTATGTCAGAGACAATGGAAGTAATTTTAAAATTACATAAAAAGATGTATTTAAGCAAAAAGCAATGTACAGCTAATTGCGTTTAATATAAGTTAAAAAATATATATATTGATTTGCAGTTAACATGTAACTAAGTGTCTGAAACCATTACATTCAGTTCATACTTAACTATATTCTTTTGGGGTTTATTATTTCCGTAATCTCTTTTTAAAAGTATGTACTTCTAATAGTGCATGATGGAGAACATAGTGTTTGAATGGTTGGTTGGGCACATTTACTGACATCATACCTCTGTATCTGATGTGTCTCCAGACACAGTGGTGATGTTGCCATCTGCTTGGAAGTTCATGAGAAGGTTCAAGGAAGATCTCCCATGCTCATAATCGTAGCCCATATTTGAGCGCAGGGTAGACATGCCACTGTCCACACAGCTGTCGGGGAGGCTGTCTTCCTCAAAGCTGCGTCTGCGCATGGGGTCGCAAAGAGCCAGGGCCAGAGACTCACAGCTCGGATCATCAGTCATCAGCCGAAAATGAGGATCATAGTCCTCGTCCGCACATGTGTTCCAGCATCTAAGCAAGTTTTCATTGTGACAACATCACAGTTATAAGAATCTATATTCGCTTTTTCTAAATGCACAAAACAAAGTTTGTGCAAGAAACATGTGTTTGTGCTGAATAAATGCAGTGGTTTAATACTAAGGTTTAGGGTTTAGAATGTGTGATCAATATCAATACATTGCAATAGGGTTCTACATATTACAGCATGTAGCAAAAAACTCTAATGTTATCTGCAAATACCAATGCAAATATCTTACCGATCAAAATGAGAGGAATTCTTTCTCGTGGTCACGTAAACTCCAGGTGAGAGTCCACTAACACGCTGTAAGAGAAAAAAAAATGTCTATAACAAAAATCGTTCTGTCCTAGTGGATAAGCAGAAATGTAAATACAGTTAACTTGAACCCTAATCCATACCTCTTAAAAAACACACACAGCCATCAAAGCATTACCCTGTTTAGCAAGCATTGCTCTCAAATAGCTTAATCCATTTTACAACATCATTTACATTAAAGAAAGGCTCTGGACACAAGGGGTTTAGGAGAATTTCTTACCTGAGTCTTACTCTTACTCTGACTGTTCTCCAAGGCCGTACGCAAACTGTCATTACTGTCATGGAGTTTTCTGTTTGCAGCCCTGGATATGGAAAACAATAACAACAAAAACAATAAAGCTACAAACCAAAACTAAACAAAATATACTCGACCAAGAACTAACTTCACAACTTTACTAAAGTTCAAGTCCCACCCCACATTTTTTCTTGTTCAAGAAGCTGTTTCACTCGAATATACATCACAATAGGGAAGAAAAGACTATCACAAATACAAAGTTCTGTCATGAAACTGTAGATGGAGGAGATGATAGGTCCTTAACACATCATTCTCTGTAGGGCACAGCTGATTGGTTGGAGTGGAACCAATGAGCTCACAGTATCTTGACCAAAAACTGATGCACCTCTTGATGGAAACACATCACAACATTTATTTATCTTTTTAAACTTTTTTTTTGGGGGGGGGGGGGGGGCTGTGTAGTATATCAACATTGTCGTATCCATTACCATGTCAAACACTCCAAGAGTTGTCATGACTGAACTTCCGTTTCATGCAGACTTTAAAGATGTTTGGGATTAAAGATTAAAGATTGGGATTAAAGATTTTTTCGACTTTAATTTTTGACTTTTTCTACTAGCTGAACTGCATCTCCAGTTTGAATTTACAGTGTTTGGGCTTGTTTTCCATTTTCACAAAGAACCTGCAAATTAATCCCAAAAGTGGCTTAGAAACAGCTTTAACTGTTTAACAGCTTCTGCTGTTAGCCTGACATGTTTCTAGCTGTGCTGGAGTGTCATTGGTAGCAGTTTCATGTAGTGTTGTGTGTGTTCAACTCACTGAAGCACCTCGATCTGTCTCTCCAGGTTATCTCTCTCCTCAGAAAAGCACTTCATAAGAGCCTCATCTCTGCACACAAATCAACAAACTTTAATACTCATTGTTTGAGGTTTGTTCAAATTCATATGTACACAGTAAGCACAAACAAAAGAAATGGTAATGGCTGCCTTAGCAAACACCACTTCTTAATTTTATACTGTAAAACAAATTGCAACTGTTATCTTAAGGAGCTTTTTCAGGTCTGGCTGTTCGTTGGTTTAACCTAATGTAGTCAGGTTGATTTAGTCATTCAATATTTGGGTTACCTGACAACGTTTTTTACACTATAATACTCCTTATACTAACGCCGGGACACTCACACACAAGTTAACTGCGCTCTGTTTTGTCGTTACTAGGTGACAAGGTTCAGACATTCCTGTGCAGTGTAATGTGTGACACCAGGATATCCTGCTCTGACGATTTCAGCACTGCAAACAGTCACAAAACCAGTTTACAGCTGCTCATGCGGGGGAATGATTATGTTCTTTCATTATTGACACTGACGTATCCAGTAGGGAGGGTTAGAATCAGAAGAGATAGTCTGGGTTACTTCAGAATACATATTTGATGGGGTTCTTAAAAATTCCTGGTCTGAAGATCAGAATCCAAAGGGTTTATTACATATTCATCAATAACTAAGTCAACACACACAGAGAGAGAGAGAGAGAGATGCTCAGTACCGTTCAAAGTTGATGCTTTGGTCTGTGAGATCACTCTTCAGAGAGTCCAGCTCACTCTGCAAGAACGCAACATTAGTGTGGGACTCCAAAAGCTCCTGTTTCAACTTCTGGTTTTGCTGAAAAAGAGAAACAAGACAAAAACACATTATATAATATCATACATCATTTTTGTTAAGATTTGAATAAGTAGGAAAGCTTGTTTTTTGGCACGGAAGAAAACTATTTAAAAGTAGGGCTGTCAAACAATTAATCACGATTAATCACATCCAAAATAAAAGTTTGTGTTTACATAATATATGTGTGTGTACTGTGTATAATTATTTTGTATATAAATGCACACATGTATATCTTTAAGAAAAATATGTTATTTATATATAAAATGTTTATATTTACATAAAATATACATTATATATAGGCTACATTCAGTCTATATACAGTATATACATGCAAATATTTCTTAAATACACATGCATGTGTGGGTATTTATGTATTAAAAATAATTATACACAGTACACACAAATATATTATGTTAACACAAACTTTTATTTTGGATGCGATTAATCGCGATTAATCGTTTGACAGCCCTATTTAAAAGATAATTGCGACTTTTTATCTCACAATTGCAAGTTTACATCTCACAATTCAGAATTGTGAAATATAAAGTCCAAATTGTGAGATAAAAAAAGTCTGAAATGCGAGATATAAACTCGCAATTGGGAGAAATAGTCCAATTCGGAGGGAAAAAAGAGTGACTTTTTTAACTTGCAATTGTGACTTTATATCACGCAATTCTGACTTTATAACTCGCAATTGTGAGTTTATATCTCGCAGTTCTGACTTTATAACTCACAATTGATCGTTTATATCTTGCAATACAGAATTGCGAGATATGAACTCGCAATTGTGAGAAAAAAAGTCTGAATTGCGAGATATAAACTGAAATGTTTCCGTTTTTTCTAGCAATTGCCATATCTCGCAATTCTGACTTCTTTTCTCAGAATTGTGAGATATAAACACGCAACTGCGAGTTTATATCACGCAATTCTGACTTTATAACTTGCAATTGTGAGTTTATATCTCGCGGTTCTGACTGTATAACTCGCAATTGCAAGTTTATATCATGCAATTCTGAATTGTGAGATGTAAACTCGCAATTTCAAGAAAAGAAGTCAGAATTGTGAGACAAAAAGTCGCAATTACCTTTTTTATGTTTTATTCTGTGGTGGAAACAAGCTTCGATAAATAGGAGCCATACCAGCATTAGCTCATTGTTCTGTCGTTTCAGTGCTGAGGTTTCCTCTTTGAGGCTGGTACTCCTGTTCTGGTTTTCCATCTAAAAAAGAGATTGTTTCAAAGCAGCATCACAGTAATTAACAGGAAAATAACAGTGTTAATGCTGCAAAACTCGTCATTTCATCAAATTCATTTTCAGCTATAAGCAGCTCTACAAAAAACAATGGAGTCGTTTCCCAGCTTAATTCGGTCTTCAGTTCTCATCTGATAGTGTCTGAATATAACTCAATATTAATTGTCTATTAAACCCCAACTTTTTAAAACCAACTTTTATACTGCTAAAACTATATAAGCGTGTTGTTAGTAGGAATCAGTCACCATCTGCAGAGTCTGTATCTTCTGCTGAAGTTCACATATCTGAGACTCGTACTGGTGTTTCATGCTGCTCAGAGTCGTCTCTGCTTTTTTACACTCCTGGGGGGAAAATGACAGAAACCATATGCTGGGGTTAAAAATAATACAATGTTATAACATTATAAGGACAAAAAAAAATTATACACTCAGTAAAATGTGTTGGATTGAAAAAAAAAAACCTAAAGACCTAAAAGGCTCCATAAAGTAAAACATTAGATCAAGACAATTAAGGGAACAAAAGGCTGCAGAATGCATTCATAGGTACAAATGCTTGTCTCTTTTTACAGGAACTTGAACAGGTGCAGTTAAACAAACAGTCAGTTCATTTTACATTACATAACGTAAGAAGTCGCGGAACATGGCTCTAAGATAAGGAACACGAACAAACACAGGACTGTCGAAGATTGTCTGAACTAAAATGTGACGTCGTGGATAAATTAAGCCTTGAAAGTGATCCAAGACACTCACATGATTTGGTTGGAACCCAGATCACAGCAAACACCTGTGCCAATTCTTTTTGAGTCGTGTATGTCAACTCCTAACTCACAATAAACAGAGCACTGTATCCATAGAAACAATACAAATACCAACACTAAAAATTGTGATTGATTATATATTACTTCAATGCTTGATTACAGTGATGATGAAAAAGAAAATGCAGAATATTTCTGGACTATAGATTGCTTGCAAAAAACATTCAAATGTTTGGTTACATATCAGCCTAATCAGTTCCTTTAAGATAAGCGATCATTACAAATCAACATTTAAAAATGAAAAGGAACCATTCTTTTGATAATTTTAAGTTATATATTATATTATAATTAGTGCTGTCAATTCGATTCATTGTGATTAATTGCATCTAACATAAAAGTTTGTCTTTATATAATGTATGCGTGTGTGTGTGTATACATACACACATCAATATATCCTTATTTTCACATATCATTATTATTTTTCTCAGGCGGTCTGTTCTGGGTTTGTTGGTGTGGGATTGAAAATGTAAAAAGAGAAAAGGCACAATGGCGCCAACGGAGGAGCTTCGGGAGCATAAAAGGAGGAGCGACGACAGTGAAGGACGAGAGAGGACCAGGCCTGGATTTTACATTGTGTTTTGTTTATGTGTGTGCGGCAGTCGTACGTGCGGGGCTGCCTCTTTACTTTCGTTTTGTGTTTGTTTATTTATTAAAGTGTGTTTGAAACGTTTGCCGGTTCCCACCTTCTTCTTCCCTGATCCTTTAACTTATCTACAATCACAGTTGCTCTTGAAAATAAAAATAATTAGGCAAAAAATGTAACTGATTAAATTAAAAATGAAATAAAACTAAATGAAATAAAACTAAATCCATAAAACTATGGGAACGCCTTAAACTGTCTATAAATGAAGCGCCAGACAAAACCCTTTAAGGTTCTATATAGGACCTTTTCCTTTAAAAGTATATATTAGTCCTGAGGTTGGATCAGCCAGGTCTTGTGTTTGTCTCCTCACCTGTAGACGTGTGTTTCTCTCTGCAGTGTGGATGCGGTGATCCATCTCTTCCTCCATCTCACTCAACTGTATAGCCGACTGATCCTGAGCTCTGAACAAACACCCACATATCAAACATTAGCCATCACATATGTAATAATATCCAATACTCTTAACAAAATAGTTCACCCAAACTTTCTTTCTTCTGTGGAACACAAAAGAAGATTATTTTTTTGAAGAATGTTGGTAACCAAAAACGTTTGGTTATCACAGACCTCCATTGTATGAACAAAAAAATTGTTCCACATAAGAAAGACAGTTACACAGTTTTGGAATGACATGAGGGTCAGCAAATGATGACAGAATAGTAACTACATGTAACGTGTAACAAGGACACTTTCAAATAAAGTGTTTACCGAATTTTCTTTTTTTAAAGTGTCCTTATTATCACGCCATATTGTTTTAGAGGTTTACATGCATCAAAGGTCAAACAACAGTTTCTTTTTCTCATAATATACATTGCCCATCACCACATTTTTCAATGATTCTCAAATAACTCAACGGACGAATCAGTCTCTCTAAATCCCTCTTTGTGCAGCCTACTCTGCTCTGATTGGCCAGATGGCCCAGTCTGTTGTGATTGGTCTATCGTTTACATTATCATGATTTTACCATATTAGTCCGAACGCAAGTCCGATGATGAAACATTGGAAGAACTAGTTATTGAACCCGAACCTCACAAGGACGACTTGAGCAGGACGTTTCTCAGTGATACGCTGCTCAGTTTGACGTTCATCATGAGATGTTGCACCTGTAATTCCTCTACGTCAGCATTAGTCTCGCGTAGCCAGACCTTCAGACTGACGGCTGAAGGTCTGGAATTCATAGCAGCTTTCTTTGGCCAAGGCCCGCCCATAAGGCCGTTTGACCGACATGTCAAACAACCAATTACAGTTCGTTTCGTTCAGCGTCACGTTTCGGGGCGTGGAAATGTCCCCACACCAACAGACCGGCGTGCAACAAGTCAGTCAGCATAGAAAATCAAAGAAGGAGAAGAAAACAAGCAGTATCTGTGTATGTCTATGCATAATAGATAGGAGGGGACACACAACTAGTAAAATTGGATCTGCTGGGAATCCTTCTAAATGCTGACAAAGGGTCGGCCAGGCTTGGAAAATAATACTCTTCCCAAATCCCGTCGGCAAACAGGCTAAAATATCTCTTTTTGTCTCCACTAAGTGCCTCAAACAAAACTCCTGGACATCTCTTAAAGAGTCTATGCCGTGAACCTCGCATACTTTTGAGAATCCTACGTTTAGCTGATCTTGATAAATGCTCATTGTCACTCATGTAAACACAACAGTTTTTCTTCCGCAATCACACGTCTGCGCTTTGTTTCCCGGCGGACCGAAAATAAACGTGACACTCGCGCCCCCCGGAAATCCGATAAAATTCAACCAATCAGATGACGACTTCGACATTCCTGAAGTGTTTCCAGTTAAGTGTACCATATGCAGACGTTTAGCCAACGTTCCGTGGGCGTTACGTCTGAGGCTGAGACTACGTCAGCATTAACAAGAGTATGTCCATCAACAAACTGATTTGTATATTTCTAATTCATTGAACTGTATCAGAGACTATTTATATAGAGACATGCCACTTCCCCAATCCTTAATACAACTATATAGGGAAAACCCGTAACGCCAAAGATGGCAGTTGTATGCACATGCCCCGCCCCTCCCGCTGGAAAGCCAATCGTCTGCTTTTAACAGTCAAGCCGTAAAACATTTAAGCCTATCGTCTGGTTCCACCGACACATGCGCACAGTTGAGGTTTGCGACAGCGGAAAATATGTTACTGTTTGAAAAGGCGGCAGATTTGATGTGTTAGTTGTGTAAATATCAGACATCCCAAGTCTCCCGGAAGTTCCGGGAGTCTCCCGCAGATTGATAGCGGCTCCCTGATGACCGCAAATTAGTTCAAATCTCCCGGAATCTAGAGCGAGCGAGCAGTAGCGCGCGCACGACAGAGACCGAGAGAACCCTTGCGCATGCGCAGTAAGAGTATAACCTGTGGGGAAAAAGGCGTTTTAAACCTTATTTTGGGGCAAAGTCATCACACTTTTTCAGCGATTTTTATCATATTTTATTAGTGTTTGTATACATGCAGTTTTTATGTCCCGGTGACCAGTGAAAGTGCAGTTCTGGGTCTCTGCCCATTCATTTAGATAGGAGCCTGGTCTTGTTAGTCCGAAATAGCTGCCCGGAGGCGTTGCCAAGATGGCGGCCGAGTGGCATGACTTGCCTAAAAGGACTTTGACTGTATCAATAACAGCATATGTTGGCCGAGCACTAACGTGAATGACTGATGTAACAAACGTTTGTAAAACAAATCTTGCTCCATCCTTTATCTTTACTTAAAGTAGTAAGAACAACAGAAAATCTGCATTAATGGACACAATTTTAGGTAATAGTGGCCCACAGCTGATCAGCAGAAGTATTTCAGTGAGTGTTAGATAAAATTGGATATCAGAACGAAGTCAACGATCAATGCAGAGCAGAGATCTGGGGATCTGGGAAACACCAGATCTGGGGACCAAGAATGACACAAACACAGAAGTGCAGTTCACTCAAAGTCAGCTTTATTGTGCCCGTGCCATAGTTTAGGCTATATAGCAAGTCTAGGGTATAGGCTGAAACCAACAAATAGAATAAGAAGTCCATATAGAAAAGAAAGGAGACTGTCAGCTTGGCTGAAAGAGTCCATAGAGAGACAAACAACTCCATTCATGATTATACCATATGCAACATTGCTCCTAATGGATAAGACAACTGGCCACAAGAGTGTGTAGCCTATGTGCATGAGAGTGTGTACCTCTTTACAGCAAGTGCCAGATGTTCCATTTCAGTGTTCAGTATTCGGATCTCTTTGATAAAACTGAGGAGAACTCTTTCATACTGAGGGACCATTCTGGGCTCCGTCAAACTGATGTTCTGGTACAGAGTTGATACCGGCTCAATCCTACACACATAAAAACAACACCAAGCCATTAAAACTTACATAAATGTAGATTGGAAAAACTTAAGGTCAATCATGTGTTTTTCAGGCAATATTCAACCCAATGGAGTCTAATAAATTGGTGCCAGGTTGTTCATAACTGCATGTTTTTGAGCCTCATGACTTTGCGGTTCTCTTTTATGAAGTAACACTTGTGGTGTCAGATGCTATGGCTGATGAGTGAAATAAGAGAGGTATTGATAGTCCACAACTAACCGATGTTCTGTCGACATTAGCGGGGCATGACGGTGATGTGTCTCATGTCAAGCCTCTGGCTTCAACTCCACCGTCCTGACATGGACCGACATCAACCACACAAAAGCTCAAACTCTCATGACTTGAACAATTAAAGTTGTACAATTAATAGACTTGGGAAAGATTTCATGATTTAGAACATCAGCTTTCGCCACAAATATGAAACAAATAAAATCTCCCTAAAAAAGTTACAATAAAACAAGGATGTTTTCATCATTTTATCAGCCACATTTAGGGGAATAATTTCACATATTTCTACATACATATGGAGTACATTGTGGTAAATGGGTGGCAGTGTACCTGTTTGGATATTTGCACAGGCTGATAACCAAAACTAGGTCAGATATATTTAGTTATTGTAGTGCATATAGTGTAATTGTCCCTTTCATTTTGATATGTGATACTTTTTTATTTTAACATTTCAGCCCACAATAAAGATATGTTTAATTAGTTTAGTTTCAGTCTACCAAACAGTGTTTGGCAAAAGCAGTGTAGCTGCATCACCGATTACACACTTAAAGGTGCAAATAAAGGTTCTTTATTGGCATATATGGTTCTACGAAGAAACTTTAACATCAAAACTCTTAAATATATATATATATATATATTTATTGGCATTGATGGTTTCATGAAGAACCTTTAACATCCATGAAACCTTTCCATTGCACAAAAAGTTCTTTATAGTGGAAATTTTTTTCTTTGGGTTATTTAAATGTTCATTACACTAAGTAAAAAAAAGATTCTTTTATGTTTTTTAGGTTCTTATGTCATCGCAGCGAAAACCCCCTTTTGGAACCTTTGGAACCTGGTAGAATACAAACCAAACAGAGCTCTCAGATCGGAAAGATCAAGCCAGTTACACCTAGGGTAAATTTAAAACATGGTGAGATGGCGTTTAGCTATTAAACCACTCGCAACTGGAACCAGCTTCCAGAGGATGTCAGATATGTCCCGTCAGTAGCTTCCTTTAAGTCCAGATTAAAACACATCTGTTAAAACACATCACACTGTTTCTGTGCTGTACCAATCGCACTGAATAGTTCTTTAATCCTCTTTTCCTTTAATGTCCCTCATATTCCTTTTTAATGTAATCGTATTTCATTTTAAATGATTTCTTTTCTTTTTACTTTTATTGTAGCCTAATATTTTATATTTCTTATGAAAGTTTTTATGATTGCTATTTTTTTTAAATAATTTTTCTGTAAAGGACTTTGAATTGCACTTTGTATGAAATGTGATATATAAATAAACTTTCCTTGCCTTGTGTGCCTAAATATGTTGTGTGGGTTTTTACCAGGTTTTGTGTTATGTTAGAAAAAAAAACGTAAGGACTTCCTTTAAGAAAATTTCCTTTAGGATATTTTAAGACTCCAATTACAAAATCCTTTAGCAAACAGGCAATAGCAATCATTTCACCGTCTAGGTTAACTATAGACCCAATATAGTCCGGCTATGAGTAACCCACTTCTAGCCAAAATAACCTTGAATTTGGTTACATGTCGTTTTTGCCAAAATAACTTACGAGAGATTCCATCATGTAAGCAAAGTCAACAGTGATTACAAGGTGTTTGGTTTCATTTCTTCACTCATTTAATTTCTTGGTTATCTAATTGATGATTAGTCTATTCTTAGGCGATGGTTAGACGTCTATTCAATTTTCACTGACAGCCCAAATTTTGCCTTGTTTTAGCCTAGACGTCTGGGTTGTGTTTGGACGGCTATTAGACGTCTTTTAAACGCAAAATTGCTTGCTGGGAGGAATCCCACAAAAATGTCTTATTCCTTTATACTAATATCATTAACACTAGAAAAAGAAAAGAGAAACAGCTGAAGGCAATCATAGAGGGGTATAGTATAGATGAGTTTTAAAACCCTGTTCTTTAAACTTAGTTAAACTCCTATGAGATTTGTAATCAGAAATATTATGGAAAGTCATATAACCAAGAAAAACATTTAGCTTTGTTAACTTGGTTTTGTGTTATGTTGTAGTCCTATTAGGCTAAATATTTTCCATATAGGAACTTTAAGAATACATTTTAATTATAAAAAAAAAAAAAAAAAAAAAAAAGGAATACTGTAGAATTTTCTCAACGCATTCTTCAGGATTTGGTTGACTGAGGTAATTTGACAGCTTTATGGCACAGCCAGGTGTGTTTTACCTGGGGATGAATTTGAGCTGATCCCCCAGACGGGATTTAAAATCCTCCAAGGCGACAGAGGAACTTTCCCCGGCGGGTTCGCTGCTCATCTCCTCGTCTTTCAACAAGTGTGACTCTTGAAACCCGTCCATAAATTCTTCCAGATTGATCGTGCCGTCTTTGTCGGTGTCAAGTTTGGAGAAAATGTCATCTATCTCGGTGGGTCGGACCTTCAGCTCGGAACATATTTTCACAAACTCCCATTTCTCAATGCGCCCGGAGTGATCCACATCACAGGCGTGGAAGAGCTCGAGGAGTCTCTCCTTTTGCGCGTCAGACCCCATGGCTGCTCTAGAGAGATGTTATTTAGCAAACATTATGAGTGACTTTTCAACGTGAGTAGACCTTGTGGTATCTTGCTTGTACATTGACAATTTGAGTTCGGTGAGTGAAGTAAACGCCCCTTACACAAACTGCGCTGAATAAACAAACCCTCTCAACTTTGAGGCGTTTAGTTTGCCGCGGCTCGTCACGAGGAATTTACAAAACAGGGTTATTAACTAATACTATAATAGAATATTGTTTACAGTACAAGACACTCATATTTAGCATTTTACTACTGGATGACACACTAATAATTGCCCGATGTATTCCACAACAACGGAATGTAAATAGTAGGCCTTTTTAGTTTTCCCTTTTTTACACTTTACACGAAAAGGGTTGGAAACAAAAACAATCACGAAAACTTAAAGAATTAAGTCTTTTTCTCACTCTTTTTGATCGAAGTATCAGTAAAATGAGGTTAACATTAGCAGTAACTTTAGATTAACTTTAGGCCTAACCCTGTTACCAATATTTTCGACATGTAGAAACTAGAAATAGCTTACAGTTTTTAAAAATGTTTTTTTTATGGCAATAAGCAAACATTATATAAGTTTATTATATTCATTGTAGTCTTTTTAATTGATGCCTTTGTCTCAGAATAAGGATTGAAAGAGGATAGAAACATAATGTGCAGCTGCTTAAATGAAGTGCTCAGAGAGATTCACCCCAAAAATTAAAATGATCCCATAATTTACTCACCTTGAAGCCATCCTAGGTGTATAAGACTTTCTTCTTTCAGCCAAACACAATCAGAGTTATATTAAAAAAATATCCTAGCTCTTCCAAGCTTTATAATGGGAGTGAATAGTAGCCTAACTATTCAGAGATTTTGAAGCCCAAAAAAGCACATACATCCATCATAAAAGTAATCCATACCTGATCAATTTATTGATCAGGGATCAATAAAGTCCTTCTGAAGCGAAGCGATGCATTTTTGTAAGAAAAATATCCGAAATTATAACTTCATAAACTATAACCACTGGCTTCCAGTAACGGCCGTACGCGAGTCTAGTTCCAGTGGAAGAGTGACCTCTGACCCGATGCATGACTAGGATGTAGGGGTAGCGTAAGGTTAGGTGAGAGTAGATGCCTCTCACGGCTCAAACAGATAGAGCTGAGCAACAAACTCAAGCTCCTCCATCATTTCTCTTTTTAGGCTTCTAATTCGTGACTGGTGTTTTGTTTTGCTCTATCATCTGCACTTCCGCATTCATCAATATGTTATACGTCGGGTCAGAAGTCACTCTTCTGCCGGAACTAGACTCACGTACGGCCGTTACTGGAAGCCAGTGATCATAGTTTATAAAGTTATAAATAATGATATTTTAAAAACGCATGGCTTCGTCTCAGAAGGCCTTTAGGAGTCATATGGATTACTTTTATGATGGATGGATGCACTTTTTTGGGCTTAAAAAAAATGGTACCATTATAAAGCTGGGAAGAGCCAGGATTTTTTTTTTATATATATAATTTAGATTGTGTTTGGCTGAAATAAGAAAGTCATATGACTATATATATATATATATATATATATATATATATATAAAATCTTAGGATGGCTTCAGGGTGAGTACATTATGGGAACATTTTCATTTTTGGGTGAACTAACCCTTTAAATTCATCTCTGTTTTCAGCAATAACATGCAACATCTTCACAGTGTTCGACCAGCCAGCTCTTTATGCAAGGTAAAACCCTAGCAAAGTACTGTGAAAACTGCCTATGCAGTTTAAAGCCTGAAACACTAGATGGAGACAAAATATTTAGTACAAACAACAGCCACCAATTTTGCTGCCGGCCAAACTTGGCTACATGTGAGAATTGATTAAGCACATGTACATGGGTATTTGGTCAAATAATTTTACAAAATAACAACAAAATGGGTGCACGATTGATGGCAAGTCAAAAACATGTCCGCATTATATTGGAAAATCCTAAAAGTCAAAAGAATTAATAGTAGTCTTCAGTAATGCAAAAAAAATGATTGTATATTATTGAAATTATAAATCAATTTGTAAAATTTTAGTAATGATGGTATTTGCTTAATCTATGCTAATTTTATTTGCAACAATTATTGTGGTTATTAATATATTGATAATAATAAAATATATATATATTTAAAATATTAAAATAATAATAATTTTCCTTAATTTTACTGTATTTTTGATCAGGTAAATGCAGCCTTGGTGAGACTTCTTTGAAAAACATTTAACAATCTTAACAACCCCCAACTTTTAAGTAATGCACTTTATTTTGTGATCTTTTTTGTTTATTATTATAGAATAGAATAGACTTTATTGTCCCATTTGTGGGAAATTTGTCTTGGACAACCATGACACGGCCAGTGCACAACATTGAACTTTTAATAACATAACATATAATGCATACAATAACACACAATAACTGAAGAAAATACTGCAACAATCCAAATAGTTTTGGCAATTGTCTATTTAATAATTTAACTGCTCTTGGCACCAAAGAATTTGTATAAGGATTTAATTTATACATCAACAACATGTTTATATATGGAATATGTTCATATGTATATATCCCATACTCATGTTAAACATAATGTGGCAGCAAAGATTGTCAAAAAAGATTTGTGCTAAGTTCAGGGAAAGTGTCTCTAAACCCAGTAGAAAGCGAGCGAATCAGAGAGACAGGAGGCAAAGGAAAGACATATAAAAGCAGAACGGTAGAAAAAAGGGGTGGACCCGGTGGAGAGACATGTATGATATATCTAGGATGAAAAGATACAGAGGGGGAGGGAAAACAGTGAGCGAGAGAGTAAGATTGAAAGTGAGAGAGACCATGCTGTTTAGGTAAACAACAAGCCTCAGTGTCTTTCTTTCCATGCTTGGACTGTCAGCGTTCTGGACTGAGCCACTCTTCATACGGGAAAAACATTGGAGAGAGAGAGTGTCTGTGTGTGTGCAGCCTGAATGAGTGAGTCAAGCCCAATGCACATCACACCTCTGCAATCGTCTGTCCGAACTGTCCTTACTCCTGTTTGGATGTGTGTGTGTGAGTGAGTATGGACCCACGTTTCTCCATCGGTGTGTCTGTATGCGTGTCAGACGCTGGCTTGCTCTGCGCAGTCTCTCCGAGCTCGTCTTGCGCTCTTTCTGCCTCAGTCTGAGGACCGACACATCCTCTCCCCTCTCGCTGCTGCTTTGCCCTGGATCACCTTTGGCCTCCATGAGTGCAACTGAGGAAATCCAGCCTCTCCCTGGAAGGTAAGCCAAACCTGGAGTGTCAGAAGAGCTTGCATGTGAGAATGTTTTATCATTGAAATCAGAGGCTTTTCCACTCAAAGTTCCTCTGGGACCAATTTTGGGATGCATTGGAGGGCTGGACACTTCAACGACCTTTCAGGGTTTCCCTGATGCAATTTGTCTGCTTTATTTGTTTTATGTGCAAAGCAAAAATAACCCCAAATTTAAGAGCTTGAATTATTGCATTGAAAATACACTTAAAAAAAAACCCCAGTAATATTACAATTTAAAATAAGAAAAATGTATTTAAAAATGTTAAAATGCCATTTATTCCAAGGCTGAATTTTCAGTGTCTTCATTGCTATTGTATGGAGTAGTATAAATGTATGTATACAGTGTGTGCAAGTGATTTATAACATGCATGAATGATTCTAAATTAATTGCTACTGTGTGAAGCCTAATCATTTTGGCCTTGTTCGGACCTTTAAAAATCCACAGAAAAATTATTTCAGTGTGGAAAGTTGTCGATAAAAAGGCATCACAAAACATTTAGGTTGTGGTTAATTTCCGAGACAATTCCTGTTGCAGCTTGTCTCGCAAATCTATTTATTTAATTATTTATTTATTTTTGTGTGCAATGACTTCCACATGACATGCTCCTTCAGATGAATGGACATTTTGGCATCTAGCCTGGACGTTGTGACAATGATGGCAAACTGCTCCCTGACTGCTGACGTGTGTGCGTCACCATCTCCTATCCCAATATACTTTGGGATTTATATTTAGCCAACAGTTGTTCAGAGCACAAAACCCTACTTGTATCCTGATCTAAATTATGTTTATGAGTGTGGTTATAGGCAAAGCAAATCTCTCTTGTCATAAGACAGAAGAGAGTAATTAGCTCTTCTAGAATCGAATGTCTTCCATTCAATAGACTTGTTTTGAAATACAAGCAACATGTGAATGTTCATACGAGTATACAAGTAATATAGGCTTTCAAATAATCAAATTTTACTAATACATATACTACATTTAAAATGTGATCTGTTATAGATTGAATTTATTTTAAGCACTTAATCGCCAAATTAATTACTGTAATATGATATTTTGTTACAAAATATTCTTAACAACTATTTAAAAAATGTATAAATGTGCAGTTTGGAAAAATAAAAGCAATTATTTTTACATTAATTATGTAAATATGCTGTTTACTTTTGGGATACATTTGTGGGTAACTGATAAGTAAAATAGACATTAACAGAAAATGCTTTTCAGCATCAAGACTGTTAAAATGTGTATGAAAATTCATGTATTTTAGGTGCTATAGTGACTCGAATAGTTCTGTGGTGTGACATTTAAAAAAAAAAAAAAAAAAAACGAAAATATTATACACTAACGTTCTAAAGTTTATGGTCAGGAAGATGTTTTTGAAAATCTCTTATGGTCACAAAGGCTGCATTTATTTGATCAAAAATACAGTAAAAACAGTAATGTGATGTATTACAATTTAAATAACAAGTTTTTGTTTATTTTAATATTTGTTAAAATGTATTTGTAATGTAAAAATGTTATTCTTGTAATGACAAAGTTACATTTTCAGCAGAAATCATATGCTGATTTGTTGCTCAAGAAACATTTTTTATTATCAATGCTGAATATAGAATATATATATTATAGTTCCCAATCTGATGTGGTGTCGAATTCTGACACTAGGGGTCGCACTTGGGAGCACCAAACACCTCTGATACTTCAGAAAAGGCCAATGAAAATTGCCGAGTGGAATTGCAGGCGGCACTAAAAGGAGCTTGCGCACAATTATTCAGATTTGTTCTTCGGAGCCGAGTGGTGTTAAAGCAATTGCTCTGCCATTTCACCTCTGCGAGGAAGCTGATTCGTCTGTCTATACGTTGCATCACAGCGGTCTCTCCCACTGACACAGATAATTGCAGAGAGTTCCCCTGAGTGCTTCAGCAAAAAAACAGTGCAGTTTCCTCTGAAAGAGCAAAACACAGACTAAGAGCGTCTTTTTAAAGATATCTTTCCACCTGTGTGTTTCTGGTTGGGGTTGATACCTGTAAGCCTCGGCAGCCACAAGCGCTGCCTCGTGTGTCTGGGTCGTTCACACGCTGATAAAGCTTTTGTGGATGGTTCATGTTGTAACTGTGAGACAGAGATGGGCACTCAAGTTAGAGACTTAGGACTCGAGTTAGGACTCGAGTCACATTTTAATAGACTTCAGACTTGACTCGTACTCGGCAAAAAGACTCGTGAATATTTAAAAAACGACTCAAGTCTTAAAGAAAGAATTTTGTGTGAAGAAATGGTTTTATAATATCTGCGTCACATATATTTCCCTACGTGTCACGGTAGTTCGGACCCTTGTCATAGAATTTTATTAGGCATGTCCGTATTTTGCCCGTAAACTCCGAAATGTCATAATAAAAGTCCAATGAAACATGACGGGGGCAAGCATACCATATGTTCTTTCATTTGGGTTTATTAACATGTCAATCGGCTAGATGCAAAGAATGGGAAAACCATTAAAGACACCGTAACAGCAGCTTCAAATTTTATGAGACATCGCATCCACAAAGGTTAGTCACATTACATATTATACTGTGGTGTAGCTGCATGGCTCATTTGGATTGCAAGCCTGTTAAAACATTAACAAAAAAAAAAAAAAACTAGCCTTTAAACCTAGCACCATGTTTTACTTTTATCAAACTTTTCGTAGTATATTCAGCTTTTCTCTCTCTTAAAGGGATAATTCACCCAAAAATGAAAATTAGCCCATGATTTACTCACCCTGAAGCCATCCTAGGTGTATATGACATTCTTCTTTCAGACAAATACAATCGGAGTTATATTTAAAAAATGCCCTGGCTTTTCAAGGCTTTATAAATGGAGTGAATGGGTGTCTGTCTTTGGAAGTTCATCAAAGTGCGTCTATTCATGATTAAAGTGCTCCACGCGGGGTTCAATAAAGGCCTTCTGAACTGAAGCGATGCGTTCGTGTAAGAAAAATATCCAGATTTAAAACTTTATCGACTAAAATAACTAGCTTCCGGTAGACGGCCATACGCATCGTTTTACGGCAAAAGAGTAACACTTGAACTTGACGCACAACGTAATGACGAATGCCGGCATTACTTGGGATATGACCAGGTTCAAATCCTTGAACTTGACACACCATGCGAGCTCAATCATGCAGTGGACAAGCTGTCACAGCAAGTGACACTCCAAGGAGAGTGGAGACTCTACCCCCAGGCAGTCCAGCTGATCTGGAGTCAATTCAGCAAAGCACAGGTAGATATGTTCGCATCCCAGGAATCCTCCCATTGCCCTCTGTGGTATTCCCTGACCAAGGCCCCTCGCTGTGGACGCACTGGAACACAGCTGGTCCTGGTTATGTGATTAAATATGTGTTTCCCCCAGTGAGCCTGTTTGCACAAAAGTTTTGTCAGAGAGGACAAAGAGGTTGCGCCGTGTTGGTTCTCAGAGCTTATGCTCCCGATGACAGCCCCTCGCTGGTGGATCCCTCTGAGGAAGGACCTCCTTTCTCAAGTACGGGGCACAATTTGGCACCAGCTCCCAGACCTCTAGAACCTCCACATCTGGCCCCTAGATGGGACTTGGAAGACTTGAGTGGGAAATCACCAGCAGTGATAGACACCATCAATCAGGCTAGAGCCCCCTTAGGCGAGCTATGGGACGAAGACGACGCTCCTGACTGCGCTAACTTCCATCAAGAGGGTGGGGGACCTGCAGGCATTCTCTTTCAGCGAAATGTGTCTTGAGTTAGGTCTGGCATACTCGTAATCCTGAGACCCTGACCAGGCTACGTGCCCAAAGTTCCCACTATCCACTTTAGGTGTCGTTTCTGTGTCCAGTATGCACCCTGCATATTTACTTGGACCGTACGCAGAGCTTTAGAGACTCTGAGCAGCTCTTTGTCTGTTTTGGGGGACAACAAAGGGGCAGGATGTCTTCAAACATGGATCGTGGATGCTATTGCCTTGGCATATCAGGCACAGGGAAACGTCCTGCCCCTTTGGAGTCCGAGCACATTCTCCTGGGCGCTAGCCAATGGCGCCTCTCTAACAGACATCTACAGAGTGACGGGCTGGGTGACACCCAATGCCTCTGCGAGTTTTTACAATCTCCAGGTCTTCTACTTGCACACAGCACCTTTATTCTCCATTAAGTACCCTAGTCAGCTCCCTGCGGCAGTCAAATTCGGCTTCGGAATTTGACGCCAGGCCCAGTACTCGTAATGCATGCCCTTTCGGTCAGCCTGTATACTGGATCTAGGTTCCCATATGTAGTGATACCCAGATGGTAATCCCATATGATGGATTGTCCATGATACGGTTTCCCTGATGGTAAACCTGTGACTTCCCCAAGGCAGAGCTCCGTCTCTGCCACCAGTCGTTCGTAGTAGTTCCCCCCTTTCATGTAGGGCCTATTGCGGAGACTTTTTTGTGTGGTGCTTCCTGGGTGTAAGTCCATGTGATGTATTCTCCACATACTAACCTCCCCATCTGGGAGGGAGAACGCTTCCTCAACGCTATGGTCTGCATCAGCTGTAGATCCCCCCCAAAAAAAAGAAGAACAGAAAGGGTCAAGGAAGTTCGGCTAAAACCCATTGCCATTGTAAGTACTGTCCTTCAGTCCCCGAATGGTACAAAGGACTACACGGCTTACAGGGCGCTGGTTAGGTTATGATGTGCACTCGTTACTCGGCACACAGTGGTTCGCCAACATATGCATCGCCAGAACTTCGTAACTCAGTTCAACAGTTGTGCCGTTTTCCATAGGAACCCCTGATGTCAGCATTGAACACCAAAGTGGCTGACAGATAGGGAATGTCTCGTTTACTATTGTAACCTCCATTCCTTGATGGAGGGAATGAGATGTGGTGTCCCTCCTGCCACAACGCTGAACTACCCGCTGGATGGCCAGGACACACTCTCGGCTCCAGCACAAACCTGAATGAGTGGATGCACGCTAGCTTCTTTTAT